GTTCTCTAAGACCTCGTGTGGCAGCCGTGCCTCGTCCGCGAGCACTAAGTGCCGCGTGCCGGCCAACAGCACAAGCAAGGAGGCAAGCGCCATGCTTGGAGGCACCAAGCGAGGCCGGATATGACGTTTCGGTAGGACTACAGCCGAATGGGCTTCAATCCGATTGGGGATGACGAAACAAGTGTGAAGCGAGTGCAGAGCAAGTGCAATGAATGCGCGTGCAACAACTTGTGAAGCGTCCTACCCTGCAACAAATGGCCTCGCCGTCTGGCCGCCGCAGCTTCGGAAGCCAGGTGCGGAACCAGGACTTGTTGCAGGAGCTATCCCACTACGTGTTGGTTTCCTGCCTGTCTTGGGCTTCAATGACTTTGGCCAAGGCCCCCACCGCATCGTACTGCGGAACTCCCTCAGCCGCATCGACGCTGCCAACTCCCGCATACGCTGGGTCCTGCAGTCAACGTCCCACACAACACCAGATCAAACCTCAACACAAGGCTTGGACAAACGCATTCAGCTTGCGGCTACGAGCCTGCATGCTCAAGCCATGCAAGCTGTCAGGGTGGTCAATCCCCAACACTGCCCACAAATCTAATATTCATGGAGAAAAACATGCGACCAGTGTATCGAAGCTGTCATGTAGATTCGCCTCGGACTGCGGCCACCAGACTGGGACGAAAATGATTGGGGGAAGTAAGTCACGTCCTTCCTGAACCGCTTGGTTGACCTTCTTGGCCTTCGTGACCATCTTGCCCTATGACTCTATGACGTTGTTGAGCCTTCCTGATGTGTTGCCGCCGCTTTTCAGAATACGGCATCTAACATTTGATCGACTGTGCTCCCTTCGCCCGCGGATTGAAACTGCCTGGCATCACGCTACGATTGAAAGGTTTGCAGCCGAGCTGAGTGCGAACCAAAAGACCCGAGGAAACCGAAAGACATAATGTCAGATAACAGCATGAAAATGACAGAGCCAAAAGCATGAACACAGCGCAAGCGCACACGCGCCTTTTGTAGCACAATGGAGTGTGGTGGCAGTCGAGTCTCATCCGTTCCTGCTTCCGGTGCCACTGGACCCTCCATGCTCGGGGCCAATGGCACCCATACGTTTAAGGCCAGACTTAAGGCCAAAAGAAAGAAAGCTGGAGTTGACGCTCTTAACAGACGCCAAACACTTCCAGCAAGCGAGATTGTCGCCACCTGCCCATCCGGCACCCTGCACGGGCCTTAGGAGCCTTAGGATGGGGCAAAGGCTTAAATGAGCGGAGTAGGACCATAAAGAACAGTGTTCAAAAGGGAAAACTGAGGAAGCACTGATTCGACAGACACTTCCTTCTCTATGCAAAAACCTGCAAAATTAGGGTGGGTGAGTTCATCAGCCCACGTATTGAGGTGCCGCTTCACGTGAGACGGCGCCAGCTGCAGGCCCGCACCGTGGATCTGGAGGAGCATCTCCATAAGAACCAGGGCCGTGTGAAGCTTCCGCGTCTTCTGGTTGAGCATCGGGTAGATGTTGCTCTGGTTGTCCGAGACCATGGGGATACGGAGGTTCGGAACCCCTGCGTCGTCCTTCAAGATGAGGAACTTTGCTAGGAGAAGAGAGCCAAACATCTCGAGGGCTCCAATTCTACGTTTGGGGTCCCCTTTCTCAAAAGCCCAGGGGTGCTTCTCTGGCGTAATCTGGTAATGGAACCAGAAGACCTCCTTCTTCTGCGGGTTGTCCAGGTTGGAGAGCCATCCGCCCAGGAAGACGGCGCCAGTCTCGGAGGCACTCGCATCGCTGGCTTCATGCCGTGTTGAGACTGGAGCAAAAGGGGAGGCTTGTCTATGCTGTCCTTCAAACATACGCAAAAGCAAGGAGGCAAACAGACGAACAATCATGGGCGGCCTGCCAGAAGACTTGCATGCTTGCTTTCAGTGAAGTGCGTGGACGCAGTCCATGACTGTGGGAGCTGTGGTCTTCTCCTCGGTATTGGCCTGGATGCGCGCATTCGCACCCCCATGAGATCCATCAAAGATGGCGCGGATCTTGTCCACTCATTGCCCGCCATTGGACAGGGGCAGAGGTCCTCCGCCCTACAGCTGCAGATCTGCGCTGCCTGCTGCTTCGAGAGTGGGCCCGTGACCATGCCGAGGTCCACTTCTTCCATGAAGGTGGCCCGGATTTCAGCAGCATAGGACTTGGTCGAGGAATAGTTGGCATGTCCTTCTGGTGGGGGAACCTCCAAAGGGTCCCAGCATTCACCTGAGGGTTCTGATTTCAGCGGCCAAACGCCTGGAGACCTAAGAGTGGGGTCCCAAAGGGACACCATGGGCAAGTGTGTGTTGGAACTCGTGATCAGGGTCACCACACGACTGCAGGACACTTAATGACGTCCAGGTAGAAAGGCTGTCCTGAGGCTGGCTGCTGATGTCCTGGCAGCATGAAAGACCTCTGCAGAATGTTTTGAGGGAAAGGGTGTCGTTTAGAGCCTTCCGACAGCGAGCTGGAAGGCCGGCATCAGTTCCTTAGCAATGTCAAGGATAAAAGAGCCCACTGAGGCCAAGCCAGACCTTGGGCGACACGAGGGCGGCAGACGTCCTGGCGAAGGCTTCCCTCCTCCATCTCGGAGGCTGCGTGTCTTGAAGACATGTGTTATCCACACCGTTTCTGCAAGCAGGTCCAAGGTCCTGGACAGAGGAAGGGTTTGGGGTATCAGAAACGTCAAGAGCTAAATTTCAGGACCAGCAGGCCTCAGAGCCAGAGATGTGGGCACCATGTTCCCTTGCCAGGCGGCAGGGATGGTGCTGTCTGGCCAGCCACTCGCCCGGTGTGGACCTGGTCCTGGTCGGGGCCAACGGCGCCCGAGGACGAGTCCTCCTGAGAGGGTGGCTCCGTAGCCATGATGTTCTGGGCCTCTTGGCTCCAGATCTCTCCTGTTCAGAGATAGCCGTGCAGAGGGGAACCCGCCCAGTTGGCAGCGTCCTGCGGCAAGGCTGAAAAGCGCCAAGCAGAAAGTATCAAAATCAGGCCCGAGCCAAGGAGTCTTCCAGCAACCCCCCACCTCAGGGCCAAACGCGCCTTCAAACTGCTACGCAAGGCGTACGAAACAGAGCCTACCGCACGCTTGGCCGCGAGCTCCCGGATTGGACAGGATGACAGTCCAGAGCGCCTTGCTCACCTGTTCCAAGCCATTCCTGGAGAAGCGGAGGCGGGTGCGGTTCTGCGGGTCCAAGAGCAGGGAGTTGTTCTGAAAAGCCCGCCCTCTTGTAGAACTCCACGCGGCCCTATCAACACCTCCCTGATCCAGTGGTAAGTGTCGTCGCCTTCCGCAAAGAATGCCCCCCGGATCGCCGTGAGTTCTGGGCAGATGCCCCTGGCGATCTGCGTAGTCCAAGACGACCGGCTCAAAGAACTTGTCGTAGGTGCTGGGGTGCGTTTTCATCTCCAACATGAGCACCTCTGCCGCACCATCTCTGCGCGACCACTTGCCCCCACACATTCTCTGCTCGCCGAAGTGTAGGGAGAGCAAGTGCCTGAGCTGAAGCATCTTAAACTCTGTCGACCCCACCTCGAGACCCATTGGCTTGAACTCAGGGGGCCCCTCGAGGCCAAAGGCGCCCGTGGAAATTCCCGAGCGCAGCCTTTTCACGCTCAAGCGCAGCACAGGAGGGCATCTCAGATAGCAGGGCGGCAGGGAATGGAGAGCGACCCTGCGCAAGCAAGATCTTGGCCCTGCCGTATGCCTCCTGCATCTGCTCCAGCTCGGCGGCGTCCATGACCTGCAAGGGGGACTCAGGGATAAAGCAGCCCGAACTGCATCCGCTGTTGGGCTAAGGAGGTCACGCTGGACCGTGCCCCCTCCTGTCGACGCTTGTTCTGGGCCTTGGCCTTGTCCAGCTGCGTCTGCGCATCGAGCAGAGTGTCAAGATTGCCCCAGGGGCCCTGTGTGTAGTCGCGCTTCAGGAGGGTGCGGAAGCGGTCAAGGTGGCGAAGGACCTGCGCAGACTTGGCCTTGCTATCCTCTACTGACAGGGCTCCCATCTGCAGCTCCTGCAGGACGGCAATCTGGGGGTCTATCACGGCTTCCGCGTCAGCCTCTGTCGGTCTGCGCGCCTTGCCCTCCACTTCATACATCTGCGCCTGCTGACCCTGGATGTTGTTGCTAACCTTCCACAGGGCCGCTCGCCCTCATCTTTGTCCAGGAACTGGATTTCGTTTAAGGGCTGCTTGGCAACCTCATGCTTCAAGGCATAGGATCAGACATGAAGCGCCTCGAGGCAGGCCAACAGGACTACGAGCTCATGTGCCCCAACTGTTTCCAGAAGTGGCCCAACGCCAAGGTTGAAGGCACCTGTACGCCCTGCAAGAAACAGGTCATTGCGGTCGATCGCGCCCCGCCAACCTGCATCGTCTGGAAGCTGGTCTATACCCCTGAAGGCATCACATGGCAGGCGACGACATCCAGTGGCAACTACTCCAAGGAGCAGATGGCCGATGGGACCGAACAGTGCTTCGCTGATCAGGTGCCTTTGGCAGACCTTGAGCATCTCCTCATGCTCCGTCCCCCGCTTGGCGTAAAGACCTCAAGGACCCGCTGCAAGGAAGCCTGAGTCCAGTTCACGTTCTTAAAGCGGAGGACCAGGGTTGCCGCATCGTCATTAGTGATGCTTCTGGCCAACTTCTTGGTGGCTTGGTCCACATGGGGCAGGCCCTCCGGGAATCCCTTAATGGCGTAGAGGCCCGACTCCTTCAACACAAACTGGATCGGCGCATTCGGGTCGATGGTGTCGGTTTCCATGGCCGAAGACGCAGTAGAACCAACCTCTCCCTCGGGGCCAAAGGCGCCCGTGGTCGAGGCGGCAGCGGCATCCTTCTTCTGGGGCTTGCGAGGGCTGATCTCGATGATCTCGGCGTCATCATCGAAGGCCAACCTGTTTTTCTCCTTGCGCACGGACAACTTGGCCAACGCGTCCTCCATTTCTTGCAACTTTTCGGACAGTGGCTTGTTGTCAGACTCAATCACCTGGGCCTCGGCCAGGAACGGCGTAGTCTCTTGCTCCTCGCGAATGGCCTGGTCGTGGACAGTGGCCGCCTCATCCTTAATTTGGATCCATTCACTGTCACTGCCTGACATCTCCACATCAGCGTCCAAAAGTGCCACTGCCTCAGTAGCAGCAGCCGCGGCGCTAGCAGCAGGCACTGAGGAGGACATGACTTGGTAAGAGTTATGCGAAGCAAAGGAGGCGTTGGTCCACAAGCTTGAAGCCAAAATGGCAAGGCCATTTTGGCAGCATGTTCCTGACATATGCCTTGCATTCCGCAGGCTACAGCAAGTGTGCAATTATAAAACAGATCGGAAGCCTGGAAGCCGAGCCGTATGCGCGTCAGTGGCCGCAGCGTTGGCAATGCACTCATTCCGCGGCAAGTTGCAGCGTGGAGTGCCCCAGCTGACGGACATCCGAAACATGAGTTTGTTTGTGGGTCTTAGAAACAGCATACCGCGCAGATCTCTTTCTGAACTGACCCAGCATCATCAAGCTACGTCACAATCGGCTCCTTGCTTTGTTGGAGTGCTTCTCAAGATTACGCCTGCAACAATCACCCGTCACGATGACCTAGCTCCCGACAGACAGAAATCAAAACGTACGTTCGGCTACATGCATCCTCATACTATACCCTGTGTGCTGAACAGGTCCTCCATGGCTACATCCTTGATCAACTGGTCATCCGACCTGATCTCTTGCAAAAATGCAGACTCAGACCGTGTCACGTCAGGGATCCTTGTAAATCCTTGCAGTGTCAGCCAACAAGCCTCTGTTGTTTCTTAGGCCCACATGCGTTGAACAGCCGCTGAAGTTTGGCAGCTGAGGCATTTCGGCCCGAGGCATTTCGGCCCTTGTGCTTGCTATGCTGTCCTGTGACGGCATATGCTTCAACTAATAGTCCAGCCCTTGACATTCACGAAACCCAGTTCCTCCATTTGGAGGACAACATGGGCCACGCCACGGGCAAAAGTCAAAGATCCTCTCTTGACAATTAAATGCCAAATGAGTCCCTGCAATGAGCAGCGTGATATGTGAGAGAAGCTTGCACTACATCGGCGTAAAGCCTAAAAAACCTGCTGAAAGGTGTGACGTTGCACCTTCCTGCTGAAAATCCCAGACCCCTTCAGGCTGGACAAGTCATTAGCAGCTAACAGTGCACTTGGCTTATCGGTAGCCAAAGATCTCCGGGTGCCTTGCTTTGAAATACTCGGCCTTGGCTTTGGCTTTGTACACTGCCTTCTTGGCATTCCACTCGGCCCTGGCCTCCTTGACCTTCCAGTAGTACGGAACGTCCTCGGCCTTGTAATAATCCTTCTTGGGA